CTGAACTCTTGCGGTTTGTTGTTGCGTGAAGCCCTTCAACGTGGGCCGTGCAATTTCCGAGCCGGATCGTTGGCCGTTCCGGTGTCGTCGACAGCCTTGGCAAACACGCACTCGGCGGATGGGGACAGAGGCGCGTGAGGGCGCGTCGCCAAGGCCGCCTCCTCCCGTCGCCCAGCCCGGCGTGCGTGGCCGCCATCGATCCCATCTGGCCCGGGATCCCCGGCACGTCCATGCCGTGTGCTGATGTTGCGCGATCGCCGGCCTCCACGAGGGCGAACACAGCCGCTCGTCCACGTGGCGTCGGAGAAGGGCCGAGAATCGCGGAACGGCCTGCTTCTGCTCGCTTTTGTTTGGAACGCGACACTAGGGTGCATTCGATTCTTTACAAAAAGTCAAGGATCAAAGTGCGATAAACAAAGTAGACCAGCGGCCCGTGCTTACCACTTCGGCAAGCGGCGGAAGCAGGCGCGAAACACACAGCTTCCAGATTATCACAAGTTCTCACATTCCTGACGTCACGCTAAAGTTTCGGCGGAGATTGAGCTTCTTATGTATTCTTATAAAGACAACTGAAACTAAAAATAAACTCAACGTCTAATGAGTTTGATCAGAAGAAACTCAATATCCATTTTCTTTTATTTTACCCGGATATGCAATTGAGTTTGGCCAATAATAATGCTTTATTTGATTCGTGCCCCACAACAACCAATAGGTTATAATACGGCGGCACAGAAAAATATAATACAAAAAAACCCATAACGATGTCTGCCACTGTTACAAAATACGGTGTGGGCCAATAGCCGACCAGATATAAATCAAGCTCTCGTTTAGACAAAAAAATCTTAAAAAGAAACATCAACATGAGGCGACACTTCATTACCACAATTTAACATCCGCACCAATGGTGACAATTGCGATTGCACAGAGGGATAAAATACACTCGTTCCTGTAATAGCACGAGCTGGCACATGAAATCACAGCGATGACACCAGTTCACTATCTATATGGCCGTAAACAATGTTATGTAAAAATAAATCATCACCAGCAGTCCGTCTTTTTATCAAGTTGCACAAGGAAAGTTCTCTAAGGATGTAGTCATAATCGTAATAACGTCTCCTCCCAAAATACCTATCATAAACAATTCGAACAAATCTTTTTTGAACTCTTTCGATTCGCTGTGCGTCAGCTGCAGTCAGCTAATTCCATACAGCACTGCAAAACTCGAGTCTAGCTCGCATTGAGCAAAACAAGCGGACGACATATAAATAACTGGAAAAGCTACGCGTCCCGCGTGATATCCTTCCCATCACTCGAAAAGCTGAAGCAACAATCTGGCTAACAAGATTTGAAAAGGAAAGATTGCTATCAAAATAAACGCCAAGGCCACGTACTTGTTCAACCCGTCGAATAGTACACTTGGGGTAAGAAATGCTTTTGCGTTTGCTACACACAGTGAGTATATTGGCTTTAACTGGGTACACAAGTAAAAAATTATCAGAACACCATTCAGAAATGGCAAGTGTGCTTGTTTAGAAACAATAAATACATCTTTTGCAAAAATCCCCGAAAGGGCGAATTCTAGGGCCGCCACGTGCTGCTCCTGCCTGCTCCCGTAGCATCTGCTACGCGACACCGAAGACCGACAAAGGCAACTTTCGCTGTTTACGGGCCAAACCAAGGAAGGGCATTGGCACGCCCCAGCGGAGAACCGAGCAAACCATTTCGACCACCTGTGGGTGCAGTTAACGTCGCGGACGGCACCTTCTTCGCGATATGCCTAAATCAGGTCGCGGGCACCTCGGCAGTTTTTTTTATATTTTTTTTTATAGTTTTTTTATTTATTTGACATTAATTTATTACAAGATGTCGAGGGTACAGGCAAAAGCCACAAAAAAATATCCGGCTTGATTACGTCCGTTCCTTCCACCCTCCCTCCCTCCCCCTCCCCGAACCGAAACACATACATATACCATAATTATCGCAAAAGAGTTAATAAAATAGTTATGTAAAGAATATTTGGGAAACACCGATGGATACTAACATAGCAAACACAAAACAGAAAATATGTGCTAATACACAGCAAAAACACGCAAGAAATTAACCAACGTAAGTAGAGTTGAGTATAATAACTGAAAAAATAGGATTATAGTCTAATGGTCGAGGGAATCGAGTAAGGATGACAACGTGAAAGACAATGATTATTTGCATGGTTAGTGCGAGCGTGAGGAACGTACCATGTTTCAGTGTGGCGAGTGTTATGTGTTTGCACACCTGGGAGCAGAGTCGTGTATACAAAGTTTGGTCAATGGGAGGCGCGGGCAGAGCCAGGGCGTGCACCAGACAGAAAGTGGGCTTGACATGCTCCCTTGGCCAACCAGGAGCCTAAAAGAATCCCCTAGCGGTAGTAGCGAGAAACTGTTTTGGCCAAAGGTATATGTTGGTATATATGGTTTTAATAAGCGCGTAAGAGTGTACTAACCCTTTATGGTAGAAAATAGGGTGCACGTGATGTTTCGATCATGATCATGCAGAAAGATGTAAGAAACGAATGCGCCGCTCAACTCTAATAATTGGGGCTGTGCGGATATTTATACAGCGTGTAGTTGGTCAGCCATTTCAAAGTTGCGACGAGTCACTCGCTGTAGATGAGCAATTTAGCCAATGCAGTACAACCGCTAGTCTGGTGTCTTTAACGTGCATCCACAGTACTGATACACGACCGCACGCCGGTACGATGCTCATCCAGATCGAAACGGGCAGGAATGGGAATTGAACCCAGGATCCCTGGGTTCTGCAGCGCGAGCTTTCGCTGAACGTGCTCCGAGCTGGTGTGAGACGGCAGATTCCCGGCCCCCGGCGCTTGGCGTACGGATTATGCCGATCGTTTAGCTAGTCACACTCTTCCACCATGATTTTGGGTGACCATAATTGAAACATCAGATGCACCATATTTTCAGTCACCGAGAGTTACTCCGACGCACTTATCAAGTTTGTTTCTCGCGACCACCGCCAGGGTATTTCCGGCTTCCGGTTGGCTAGATTCAAATTTGTGAAGACGCCCTGGAACACGCCCAGCCCGCTTTCGACCAAGCGCGCCTCCGCATTTGTCCCCTATACTTCCTAATGAGTGGCCAATGAGTCTACATATACGGCTCTGCCTGGGTGCCGTAAGTGCTTGACAGGCTGCAATTCTGCGGCCCAAATCGCTGCCATTAGCGGTGCGGCTCGCAAGGTTCCCATCCACGAGCGATTTCTGCCACCGTGACGCCCAGTGCGGCAGCGGAGGCGCACAATAGGTTTCAGCGGCTCAGAATAACATCGGGACGCGGGCATGCATCTCGGCCTCATTGGTCGTTTCCATCTTAGATTTTATTCGATCAAAACTAAACAGATGTATTAAACACCGAAAGGAAATCTCGGTTCGCATTTGCCTCGCGTTTTCTAAAAGCTCGCCTCAAACGCAAATGCGAACAAGTTCAGGAACTTTTAAAAGGGAAGAAAAAATAGAGCGTGCAAAGACTGATTTAAGAGGTTAAAAAGCGCAACACAACAAGGACAATAAAGACACGAAGACGACAGGACGGGCGCTAACTCACAACTGATTTTATTAGAAACGCTGAAAGCTGCTTGTGAGAGTGGTGATTGGTTGCAGTGTGGGTTTGGCATACGATCTTGTGTATACACGTTTGCAACCCGGTCTCATGGGCGCCGCCATCTTCCTCCGTGGGGTGCGCTCTTCGTCGCGGCCGTAATCCGATTGCGACGCCTTAGCAAGGCTTCGTAATCGGATTATGACTCGTCCAAGCGCACCCCAGCCGAGCAAGATGGCAGCTCCCTGAAGCCGGACTTGCAAACGTGTATACACGTTTGCAAGTCCGGCTTCAGGGCGCTGCCATCTTGCTTAGCTGGGGTGCGCTTGGTCGAGTCATAATCCGATTACGAAGCCTTGCTAAGGCGTCGTAATTGGATTACGGCCGCGCCCAAGAGCGCACCCCACTGAGGAAGATGGCGGCGCCCTGAGACCGGACTTGCAAACGTGTATAAAAGTGACAGTGTTGTTTCTAATAAAATCAGTTGTGAGTTAGCGCCCGTCCTGTCGTCTTCGTGTCTTTATTGTCCTTGTTGTGTTGCGCTTTTTAACCTTTTAAATCAATATGAACCAACTCGCCCAAACACAAGTTTTAATTCGTGCAAAGACTGTTCGCGGAACCCAGCCAGACAGGCTGAATCCCTCCCAAGGCTGAACACACCAGCAGGAAAAGGTCACATCAGGGAGGACACAGCACGAGAAAGCCGGGGCATTATAGCCGTCAAACACAAAGTGGAATCAGTACGTTCGGAGCGCGCCGACAAGACTTTGGCAACACAAGTTCGGCGACACCGCCGCGCCGTAGGGCCCCAGCTTTGTCTTTGACGAAGGCCCCAGATTGACTGCGTATTATTTCTGCATGTCGTCTGCTTGAAACGTGGAAACACCATCTTATGCCCAAGCCTTCCCGTAGTATAGACCTTTTCCGCAAGGGCGCCGCCATCTTGAATTGTCGTCACTTCCAGTATGGGCGAAAACATTGTGTCACCGTCGCCACGCCAATAGAAGGCATTTAGGACATAAACGTAATTGTCACACATTCTCGTTTTGCTTCCCCTTTATTTTTTTACTATTTGCAGGTTGAAAAGTTCAGATATTTTTTCGTCGCCCATACCGGATATGCCTACTTGGCGGTCGGGGGCGAGAGTAAGCGGAAAAGGGCTATAGTATAACGTAAAGTGCAAGCCCCCCCCCCCCCGTTTTTTTTTTTTTGCGTTTCTTTTTACATTACGCGAAGTTTCGCGTCGAAGGCTTCTTCTGCAAGTTATCGCGCTGGACACCAGCCGCAGTACATAAGCACATTCCATCCAACTAGCACCTTCGGGCCTGCGTCACGCGATTAAAAAAGAGGTAAACAAATCGGCGCTCATGTCTTGGCTAACCGCGTCGCGTTCTGTTTTAAACTCTCGAGGTCCATCCGTGGGAGGCCCACAGCCAAAGGGTTCCTTGGTCATCGGACCCCGGCAGGCCAGAGGAGTCCGGCGAAGGAGCGCCCAACACCAAGACATCGATCGCCACCGCGCCAGCCGACGACTTGGGCCCGACCGAGCCGCGGCGCCAGACACGGGTCAACGCCCACGACTCCGGGTCTAAACGCGCGCCCACACAGTCCAGCCACGGAGCTCGCTGCTCGAGGTCGTGGCTCCAGGCAAGCGGGCCTGTCAGCCGCACGCGCCGAAGCCCGGGGTAAACAAATTCGGCGTTCAATATCAACACCGCGGGCGCCACGGATCGCAGACTAAACAAACACCCGGTCGTATATATACCTCCCCACATACCCTATACAGGGTGTTTCAGAGAACTCAGGCCAAATCGCTCCTGCGAAAACTACTCATTGCAACAGAAAAGGGCTTGTGTCGTTTTGGTCCCGGGCCAGGGGCCCCATTTAGAGAAATTATTAAACTCCGGGATAATTAAGTTGTTAATTATTTTTGCGTAATTAATTTTTTTTTTGACATGTGTTTAAGGGCATGGTTTAATTAGAAAATCCCGCCCCCCCCCCCCCCCCCAAAAAAAAAAAAAAAAAAGATGTTTGAGTTTTAATACGAGGATGAAAAGTTTCGACATGTTGCGACGGTAGCATTTTACCCACTACGAATTTCAAACGGCAACTCTGTCGCTCTTCTTCATCCAACTTGTCTCGGACGGTAAAAGGCCGTTTAAAGACGAAGGCCTCTCGTTCGTCTCGGTGTTTTCGTTGTTGTTGTTTGTCTGACACAGGGGGAGGGCTCGAACAACAATCCCAAAGAATATACTCCAGCCCTACCCCACGTCCGTAGACGTCGATTCTTCGGGTTGCTTTTACGGCGCGAGAAACGTGCTATAGAGATATAGCCGCGCAAACCGTTGCTCCTCCACCTCGCTCCCCCTCTAGGCTGCCAACCACTTTAAAAAAAAAAAAAAAAAAAAACAATTTTTTAAGGCGGTTTTGGTATGGCCCGTTTCAGAGCCTCCAAAAGGCATCCTGGGAGCCATATCAAAGACGAGAAGACGAGGAATTTTCGAGGGCGCGTTGAGATGGGTTTAGAAAGCGGATCGGGCGAATCTGAAAGCTTGCGCGGCCCCCTCTGCAGTGCGACGACGCCACCCGAATCGAAGGAATGTCGAAACCACGAGGCGCCTTTTAGGATACGCGCGAGGCCCACAAACGCAAACAAAACGCGCGGGGGAGGAACAGACGGGCAGCCGGGGGCGCATTCGCGGGGAAATATCCCCGCCGAGGCGCGGAGCGGCACGTCCATCGTTTCGCAACAGCAGCCCTTTGAGAGCGCTGAATCGAGAGAAAGGGATACGGGCTCTGCGTAGCTCCATTGCACAATCGACGAAGTTTGCCCCGAGATGTAGTGTATCAACGATGCTTAGAATCGTATAGGAACGGAAGGCTCAGCCGAGGCTCTGCCTCGAGGCCGTTTTCGAGCATCTTTCCAGGTCCGGCTCTTATGCCGTCTTTCTTTGCTGAGAAGGCAGCGCCTCTCGCGTGCATGCGCACGAACACAGGCACCGAGTGACAGACACGCGCGCGCAAAAACAAACACACGCAGGCTCTGGCGGAAACGCAGAAAATGATATGTGTGGCCTGTACGCACGAAGGAAAATCATCGGGAGAAAACATTGGCGGAGAAAGTCGATTGGCGGTTTTACCGTTTCGTGATATTCTCAAAACCAACCCGCTGCATTTCGAACTTGGAAAGAACTTGGGTTTAGCGGAGCACCCGGTAATGGGCAAATTCACGCTTCCGTTTTACTATGCGAGCTAAATTATCGAGGGCACAATTCAATGAATCACGCTGTATACACCTACCTCTATGTAGCTCTGTCGAAATGAAAGCGGCCGGCGGCTGTGCCTTCCGATTCGCGGGGAAGCCTGTGGCGGCCAAGCAGCTGTTCGCCTACCGTCGCAACCGCCTGCCACAACCATGCCAGCTGCACACAACTGAAGCTTCCAGTTGAAGAGGGGTCCAAGTGAAAGAGGACGAAACTAGAGCTAGAAAAGTAAAGGCCACACACGAAAGCACTGGGATGGAAGTGAACTCTACCGGAACAAGAGTGGACGACAGCGACTTGCATGCGGCAGCACTACGAGGCATATTACTCATTGTAATCAATTACTTTAAAGAGGAAATTTACTACTTACTACTTTTCTTCATCGGAGTAGTCCGGCAGGTGATCGGATTGGCTTTACGTTAATTAATTTACGAGTAATCTTTACTTTCCACGTGGAAACCGAAGTTCGCCCTCTCCTCCAAGTACACTAAGCAGCAACACCATATATATATATATATATATATATATATATATATATATAATTTTTTTTAAAGAAATTGAAGGGCGTTATTAAGATTACTAGTGCGGTGGAAGGCGTTCATTCGAGTTGACAATGTTAGTGGTAAAATTAAAAATACAATGTTCAGTGATGTGATTGGTCCGAGTCATTATGGAGCAGCTCTCGGAGCAGCCCAAAGTCAATTTTGGAGCAGCCAAAATAACTTTTGGAGCATCATTTTCATTCATATCACTGCAGACATTATGTTAAGATCAATGTGTCGGCGCGTCCAATTAAAAGGCAATGTCCACGTTGCCTTCTGACTTACGTGCAACCCTTAGCATCAATCGAACAGCAGGAGGGAGTCCCTCGAACACAAAACTAGATTTTCTTGGCGTGGAGAAGCACCAGGCAGGGTGACAGGGTGAGTGAAGAAGGACAGCACAAACTGCTGTGAATGGCTATATTAGGTACTGAATCTCACGAAAATAATACGACAATATAGAGCCCATAAATTAATGGTTCCTCCGAGTTCTAAAGGTTGTAACAGCAATTTATAATTCATATAAAAAACAAAGCACTTGGCATCTGATTATGAACGTCAATTACATTTTATGTGTAGAACTTCATAACAAAAACGGCATGTGAACAAAACTTAAAAACAATCCCGCCGAAGTCATTAAGGTTGTTCCCGAGCTTCCATCCACTGCTCCTGCCAACTTAGTTTTAATTTACTCCTATCTATATGAAAGTGAAAGCTAAACAAATGAGTTGGCATAAATAAACATACAAAAAAGCGCACATAATTCCTCCTGCAATACCGAAGTAGCCTCGCTAAATCTCGAATTGGAAAAAGGTACCGCCAGGATATCGTATTCTACCATATGTTACGAGCCAAAGTTGTATTCAGGAATTGCGTCGCGTCTCGCTCTGGGGGAGAGCTTTCTCCTTAGCACGGTGGTGTGCTGCGGCGAAGCAAAACACGCAAAATCGCCATGATTGCACTGCGGTTTTCTCTTCTCTGCAGTACACCAGTACGCGAGGAGAAGCGCACTCAACGAGACTAACTAATCCTCCAGTAGAACAAACGTCGAACATGAGAAATATTCCGAAACTTCCGAGTACTGTCAGCCTGTCATACGAAATGCGATCGAATAGTACGTTATCTGAGACGATAGTGAAAAGTTCTGAGAATTCGCATAAGCATATCGTAACGGTCCGGCAGAGCACCGAGGCCTCAGCTATAATATTTTCAATATCATTAAAGTGAAATTGAGTTTTGGCGCAACGTTGGCGCAAATTTCTCACGCTTTGGTGAAATATAGCAGGATGTTGCAGGGTAAGCACTTTGGCGCAGTTTGGCACAGCAATCACCTCATTGCATGTTCGAGCGAAATTCGAGAAAACGTTAATCTGTTCGCGTTGAAGGTGCCGAGCGGCGTACCTCTCACCCAGTGCCTTTCACCCTACAGAAAAGAGGAGGAGGAATAAGTAATTCTAGCGGCATCAACGACTATTCAGCAAGTAAAAAAAAATAAAGGTATGCCGTTCATTGAAACTATTAAGCACTAGTTGACAAAGATGGGCGACGCAATACTAAAAACACCTGATCTCGTAGAGGAATCAAAGAAGGTAACGCTGGCTTTTGGAGCAACGTCAAATCTCTCTTATCATCGAATATGCATAACAAAGTAATCTAGTACAACATTATATTTTTGAGCGCGAGTAATTTTGATTAAAATCAATTATATTGTGTGTTTCTTTTTTTTTTTTTTTCCTTACAAATTTGGTGCATTACGACGAATTCCGAACTACGAGGAACACTCGTATGGCTAGAAAATGTTTTTTCCGATTACTAGGTAACACAGCGCAACGCAGTACAGAAAAACGCCAACCCTTTGCCCTCCCCTACACATTAAACAATCTATTTAACCGAAACTAGGTTATTGTCCAAAGTGCCTGAAGCAAACAGAGCTGCAACCAGGCTCAACCCGGACCAAAACTCCTCCGGCGGGCAACGAACAATAACACCTAAATACAAAAATATAACAAGACCATAAACACACACACACACACACACAAACAAAAAGGAGACGATGTTTTAAAGTTCTGACGACAAATCGCGGTGCCATTTCATCACATATCAAATAACACGAGAAAAGAAGTGAACGCCAACAAACGAAAAGAGAACAGAGAAACTTAAAAAAAATAAGGTAGACTATTAAAAAAAAAAAAAAAAAGCGTGTACCCACAGTCAGTGAAAGGCAATGCCGCGGAGGGAATGACCTGACTTCACCGTTTCAAAGGGGGTCCCTTATCACATACCGTCGCCCCACGTCACAGAGCTTATCCGGCCAACGCCCCCCTTTAGGTCGGCCGGCACAGACGGCTTCAACGGCGAGCCGATAACCGATTATTGGCAGGCTATCGTACGCTCTTTGGAGTACCGCTCCTGCAATCAAACAAAAGGTGTCTGGGTACTAAGGCACGAAGCTGTCTAAGGCATGGGAAGGCGTAAGCCTGCACGCGCATGATGCAATGCCATTCGACAATTCATCTTGGTAATTCAAATTAGGTCACATCGATAATTGGACAAGCAAACCGGGAAACGGGAAGTTCAAATTACCGGCTGAAGGCAACGAGCGCGTGCAGGGGGCGGCTAACCACCAAGCACTGGCGCTCCACTGCTACTATTAATCGTAAGAATTCATTGCAAGAAACCTCTGGATCGATAACAGAAACAGTAAGGAGTTAGGAGAGATATGAAACGCCAAATTCTTTGCGTGGAAAAATCAGACAAATTACTCCTCAGCGCCACTTCAGCCGATTAATCGCTCTTGCTATTCGAAACTCGCACGAAGATCATACTTGCACCTCACACTTCAGGGTGTTTCCGCGTCAGATCGCACAACGATATGGTCCGCGTTATATCCTCTTTTTCCAAATATTTATGTAAAACTAAATATATATCAAAGCCACGTTCCTGGGATATCTGCGAACGCCGTAGAGAATTTTCGTCCGGAGATATGAAATTCCGAAGCTCGAGGCGCGGAGATAGCGAAGGTTTCCCTGCGATACTTTGCACAGCCGTCAATAACACACCGAAGCATGCAAGTGTTTTTTCTACTTGTTTACAATA